TTTGCCATGTCCCTTTGCAGTTGCCGCCGCTCTTGGTCAGCCACCTCCATCCTATGGGCCCACTCCAGTCCCCCGTCTGGGGACACGCGCCCACTCCATGCCTTTGACCGCTCCGTCACCCACGCTGCTGGCTGCGGTTCAAAGGAGGCCCCATATGGGGGTAAATCTCCTGCTGGGAACCCCAGGTCGAACCTGCTATTCCTCCGGGGCCCTTATGTCAGCATATAAGTCTCTGCTGTAGAATCCGGGTTAAAGTGGCCCCAGCTGGAGCTCGGTTGATACCCCAGCCGGGATGGTTGTTTGGGCCCTGAGGGAGGCAGGAACACCAACGTGGAGGTTGTTTTCGGCTGCTGTCCCAGCTGCTGTCACCGGCACCGAAGACTGGGTCGTGGGAATCACCCCCCCAGTCGTGGTAGGGGTCGGCTCTTTTTCTTCCTCCTCCTCCTTCTCTTCTCCCTTGAGATCAGGTTTCTCCTCTGCGGTGCTCATCTCGGTTTAGGAGAGAGGCACGTAGATAGAGAATGAAGGATTCTTAACAGAATGTCAGAACCCACAGCCAAAAACGGAGTACAGACTTCTTGGAAAGGTTATACTTTTATTGAAGAGCCATAGATGCATTAACACAGTCACTGTTAAGAATAGCAGTTGCCTCTTGAACCTAATGAGATATAGGGCATTCATATGCACCCCCCCACTGCGCTGGCAAATTAGGCACCCTCCCGCGCGTGGGCTAAAGCCAGTAAACTGTTACTATGCGAAGCTGGGAATTGTTTGGCTCCCACGGCTTGCCTGGAAGGCAGACAACACAGACCCTCACCTGTACTTCTTTAGAGATAAGCATTTCAGCGCAAAGCAGAGAGTGGAACAGAACAGAACAGAAAACCTTTATTGGCATAACACAGATAACCAGAACAAAGGCAAAATTTAAGGGATAGTACTAAAACAACACCAACCAATATTCCCATTATCTTAAAATACAAAGCAATCCTAACATGCTTTACGAGATTTACAGAGTACTACTCTTGACTTCCATACATAAGTCAAAAATTCAGCAACAGATAGTGTTATTGCTGGACTCTTGTCTGCTAGAAAGAAATTTAAATCCCTATCCAGAAAATCTCTCTGCACAGGGAGAAGCGGGCGAATCAAAACATTGCGCATAGCGAAATATTTAGGACAGCGAAAGAGAATATGGGTGATAGAATCAGGTTCCCCAAGATTACAGTTACAAAGTCTATCTTTGTACGGCACACCCCTGTATCTACCAGAGACCACTACTGAGGGGAAAAGGTTGAACCTTGCAAGCATAAAAACCCTCCTAAAAACCGGAATTGTCAAATTAGCGATATATGGTACCATGGAGGTATGCAAGGGGAGGAGGGGTAATGAATAGGGAGAACAAACTCCAAGACTACCGGCATTAATGATCTGTGCCTCTATATCCCAAATTCTCCTCCTTACCACCTGCAAGATTGCTACCTCACCACAGTTATAGAGGGGCTCCAGATCAATACCTAGGGTACCCACCTTTTTCACTATGGCCTGTGACCACTCTGATGTATAAGGGTCAGCTAAAAGTTGGACCATTAGGCTAGCAGGAGGAGATCGAAAATGGAGCCGAAGCCAATATTTGATCGTAGTGATCCAAGCCCGAGATTCTATCAAGTGGAGACCCAACTCCTTATAAAGGGCAAAAAGCGACACTGAGTTGGAAACACCAAGAATCCTGCGCAGAAAAGTGGAGTAGATGCTCTCAACTCTCCTAGTAAAAGACTGAATCCAGATAGGAATCCCGTATAGCAGACGAGATATAACAGCCGCTTGGAACATCTTAAGGAGGAATGCGAAAGCAATTTACACAGACACTGAAAGAACATCCCAACCCCCATGGCAGCATAGCTGACACCCTGGGGTGAGTTGGAGATGGACAAAAGGATGGTAAACAGATTTCTTGTGCCTGATGGAATCGGGACGGGACCTTTGAGAAGAAGATAGGGTCGGTGCATTCTGATTTAATCGACAAGGCGCCTAGTTCTGAAATCCTCCTGGCTGAGGCGATAGCCACAAGGAAAATGGTTTTCATATGAAGCCAACACAGGAATTTCCCTAATCCGTTCAAATTGAGGTTTAGTTAATGCTGATAGTACTGTATGAAGCCTCCACATGGGAAACGGATATATTGTCTTTTAAGAGTTGTCCCTTTTAGGAAACGCCAGCTTTTCTGGAACCCCAGACCTCAGACTGGTCTTGGACTTGTGGCCTGGAATTCCTTGACCCTAGACTGGACTTTGGTAAACCTGCTCTCTGGAACCCCTGACTTTTGAACTAGACTTCGGTTACTCTCTTCAACCTTGCCTGTGACCTGTTAGCCATTTCAGCCTAACAGCAGATGAACACACCCACCCCGGTTAGGTTTAAATGGCAGGCAGATTGGGGAAGTGAAATGGTTGCAAGCCATTTTTTATTTATACATTCGATTTATTTATCGCTGTGACCCCGAAGGGTCTCTGAGCGGTTTACAGGTAGTTTCAAATACATTTCCCCCTAACTAAGGCCACATAGTATACAGGGGTGGGGCTGCCTACCGGCACCCAGGTGACAGGGCTGTTGTTCTCCGGCATTCTTCCTCCAGGCGGTTTCGGGGTCGGTGTCCCGTCTCTGGTGATTGCTCCTGCCACACACCTCACACGGAGGAGGGTGCCCCCTGCCACCTAAGGGCAGGTACCCATTTATCTACTTGCTATATTTTACTGCTTTTGAACTGCAGGGTGGGCGGGAGCTAGGACTAGGGCTAGGAGCTCACCCCAGCCGCGGTGGGTCTCAAACAGCCATAGTGGCTGTTCATTATTGTTGTTGTTACTGCAGGCGTTTTACCGCCTGTGCCACTCTAACAGTGGACAGGCATGTCCGCCCGCTGTTAGGTTTAAGTGGCTGACTGCCATTTTGGCTGTCTGTCTCGCTCCCAGCGGGGGGAGGGGAGTGAAATGGACCGCTGCAATGGCTGCATGCCATTTCAGCCTAACAGTGGATGGGCACACAGTCTAGCATTCTGTCCGCACAGTGGCCAACCAGCTACATAGGAAACCCACAAACAGGAAGACTGCAACAGCATCATTCTGCCTGTGCTCCCCAGCGACTGATTTAAAGAGGTGCATTATCTCTGGTACTGGAGGGAGTAGACATCTATGTATCTAATTCCCAAGGCGCCCCCTGCGTGTGGATATCTAAATCCGCACATCGGAGGCACCTGGGGGGCAGGGAGATTTTCCTGCGCACGTGGGGCAATGCCCAGGTGTGCAGAAAAATCTGAAAACTGTAAAAATAAATAAATAGGGGGGATAATTAAATCCCCCCCAAAGTAAAAGAGCATCCCCTGCGCACGCGCAGGGAATGCTCTTAGAATGACTTCTCCGCCACCACCACCAGAGGGGGGGATGGGTGGGGGGAGAAGGCTTTGCCAGCCGGCGAGCTCAGCCCTTGCCGCCACCTGGGGGTGGGGAGAGAAAGTTTGGCGGGCCGGCGAGGCTTTGCCGCCGCCAAGGAGGGAAGGAGAAAGTTTGGCAGCCCGGCAAGGCCTCGCTGCTGCGGGGGGAGGAAAGGGGAAAACTTTGGCAGGCCGGCGAAGCCTTGTCAGTGCCGCCGCCAGGGAAGGGGGGAGGGGGAAAGTTCGCCACCACCGCTGCTGGGGGGAGGGAGAAAGCTTGGTGAGCTAGCAAAGCCTCACTGTTGCTGCCGTCGCCGCCGGAGGAAGGGGGGGGGAGAAAGTGTGGCGGGCCAGCAAGGCCTTGTCGCTGTTAGGCGAGGGGGGAAGCTTGGAGGGGCGTGGGCCTCGCTGTGGGTGCCAGGGACGGGGGGGGCAGGGGAGACAGCTTCTCCACCCCCCCTGCGAGTATCGTGGGTCCCCCTTCTTGTCCATCATAATTCATAGCCATTGATGGCCCAGTCCTGCTTAAATCTGTTCACTCCCCTTTCAAAGCCTTCCAGTTTGGTGGCCATGACCACATCCCATGGTAGTGAATTCCACCAGTTCTATGTGCTGTGTGTAGAAATACTTCCTCTTGTTTACCCTGAATCTTCCACCCTTCAGCTTCAGTGCACGACCCCAGGTTCTAGTACTACAGGAGAACAACTCCCCCCGTCCAAACTCCCCCCATGCATAATTTTATAAACCTCCGTTATGTCTCCCCTTGCCTTTTTTAGGCTAAACAGACCTAAGTGTTTTAACCAGTCCTCATAGGGCAGCTGCTTTTGACACCTGATCATTTTAGTTTCTCTTCAGTTTTCTTTTGTTTGCTACAGTATTTGTATGTTTTCATTTTATTTTTCCTTAATTCTCAGGTGATAGAAATTTTAAGTCTAAAGGTAGCAACAGGTGTAACAGTTTGCAGTTCTTTCATGTATTGGATGTAGAAAACTGTTTGTTTAGATATTTGTACCCTGCTCATCAACCCCGGGGGACCAAAAGCAACTCACTGTATCCTTTTCTTCTTCCTCTTATCCTGATGAACAATCCTGTTAAGCTGAGGGCGAGTGACTAGCACAAGGTCACCCAATCATCCAGTGCTTTAACTATTTGAGCATGCTGGTTCATAGATAAAGTGTTTATACTTTTAAATTCCCTAGACATGCCAGATAGTACAGCAGTACAATTGAATATGCAAAATAAGTTATAAATGATGGTTTCAAGTTAATAATAATTTTAGATTATTTGATAAGCAAATAAGTATTACATACATTTCATTTCCCCCCAAACTGTCTGTTTTTCACAGGCACACACACAAACATCCAAGTACCTGGCATGGTGAGGTTCCCCCCCCCCCTCCTATGCCTACACGGTTTCTGGGAATTTTATATCTCTGGTACTTGGTACAGTTGGGACAGGGCAGTGTCTTGCTTAGGAAATGAGGCTTGGAACTTAAAACCATTATAATTAACCTTGTTTTACATGATTAGCATTCATGAAAGGTGATATATTCAAACTGCATATCTATTTTTAATAGTGAAAGCAAGTTGAACACCTTGGTGCAGAAGCTTCATGACTTTTTGGCTCACTCATCTGAAGAATCTGAGGATGCAAATTCTCCTCCAAGAGTATTGGTGAGCAAAGATACAGGTAAAAGGCTTTTTATATAGTTTTACGGCTTTTGTGATTAGTATATAATAATGCATCGGTTTAAGGGAGGCACGACATATTGTTCTTTCTGTCTGTACTTGATAAACACTAAATTCTTGATTTATAGCTTAGTTTGCAAAACAATGACTAAAACAGCATATGAGCAAAAGAGTGAGCAACTAGGTAATACTTTATTTTTCTAAATAAATAACAAATATTACCTTGTTCATTCTGCTTTTCTGTATGCTTGGATGTGGGGAAGGGGAATATGTTTCTGTTGGATGTTTTCAGCATTTCTGTGGTTCTCTGCACTAAAACTGTGTGATGAACTATATTTTAGCTGAAGCCAAGCCTCTATTTTTATGGATTACAGCAAATATTATTAGGCATTCTTCCTTAAATCCGTTTGCTGCAAGCAACAGTGGTGTTATTAGGTTAGGAGATTGTAATTACTGCTAAAATAACTGAATAACATTTAAAGCTACTCAGGCTTCAGTAAATATAATTCTGGCTTCTAGGTTTCAAACAGTTTCAGATGTTATGGTGCATAGCTTCTGATGATTGCTCAGGATTAAATAGGTGCTAGCATAGAAATGATTTTACAGTCCTGGCAGTTCCTGGACAAGAGTACCTGATGGTACATTAGGCTTTTCCTAAAAAAACATGTTTACCTCAGTCCAGTGAGATATGAAAGTTCTCTCTGTGAAGCATTACTTATCTTTTTAGTGATGTGTATGCACCTCCTATTGAAAAAAATGGATACCCTTCTACTTTAAAAAAGAAGTATGTATTTTGTATCAGGATGCACAGAACTATGGATCTTGTGGTTTGTTTTGCTTGTACATTTTTGGTCCACCACCCAACATCTGATGGTTTTCTCCAAATATAGATTTTTCCCTCATTTGTGCAAAAGTATCTTTTTCAACCCTGTATTTATGCCTCACCTGTCTCTCCAGTGGGGGACCAAAAGTAGTTTTACATCATTTGCCTCTCCTCCATTGGGTTTTCACAACAGACCCATATGGTAGCATATGTGACTGACTCAAGGTCACACCAGCAAATGGGGATTCGAACTTGGGTTGCTCAGACCTACCTGGCCCACGGCAGCCCACTGACCCTGGCCCATTGTGGATTTTTTTATCTGCACCAACAGCATGGTGGACATACTTGGCTATTCCATGTATGGTTTGAATGTAATCTAATGTGGGAGAAGATAGACAATATGTTTTGGAAGCTGCTTAATTTTTTTCCAAGAGCCTTGGAAGCTGCCAGGCACAAAATGGCAGTTTATGCAAAAATTAAAGCATTTCTGAGAAGGTCTCCACTCCAGTACTCGTGGGGAGATCTTTCCTCTGCTGTTTCAGTGAAGCAAACCATTATCACTACCACAGTAGTAACTTGCCATGCAGGAGAAAAACACGCAGGTACCTCTGTATTTTCCCTGGAAGAAGCAAACAGCAGCAGGGGGGGGGGGGGGGACGGGGACGGAACAGTAATTAGTATGCTTCTTTCCCATCCAGAGCAAGGGAGCGTTTGTGCTTGAGAGAAATAGGAAACACATAGGAAAGGTTGCTGATGCTGTCATTTTGATGAGAAAATGATTAGTGCAGCACTGGATGAGGGGTTAAAGCTGGTTTTAATTGCTCAGAGAGTGACTGGTCACTCTGACCTTCGGCATACCCCAGTTTAGTGGATGGTGGAATATTTTCAAGTTTGACTGAAATTTCAGTGGAAGATGCTCCTGTGTACTGTTTTTAAATGTGGCCATAATAATAAAAATAACTGCTGTCCTTTTTTGGGGGGTGGGGGAACCCTAGCCCTTTCTACATGTGAATATTTCCCATTTGTTTGCTACAGATCAAGTTAATATGCCTGGAAATATTCCAACTCCAACAGAAAACAGCAGGGAAGAGGTAAGAATAGAATCTGTTACACTTGGTTAAAAGTGAAATTCTGGCCCCGGTCACGCAGGCCAGAAAATGCGGGGGGGGGGGGAGCGTGGCTGTTTGCTCCGGAACAAAATAACGCGCGGCTGCGCAATCAGACGTCTCGTCGAGGTCCCGTGGTTAGGGGGGAGGTGCCGATTACAGGACAATCCTGTGGCGCAGCAAAGAAGCGGCCTCACTGGCAAAAGGCTCCGCGGGTTTAACCCCTTCCAGGGCTGCAGAGGAATGCAAACTGTGTCCTCCGTCCAGTCTCCTCCAGGAGGAGCTTCAGCCGGGGCCCCCTGCCACGCCCCCCCCTGCACCTCCCCCTCTGCCGCCCGGTGCAGAGAGTTCCTTTCGAGCCGGCCGAGCCAGGTGTGGGGGGGTACGGAAAAGAGGAGGGGGCTCTGCGCGTGCATGCATGTCCGGGGAGGGGGGAGTGCGAACAGAGAAGGCAACAGCCGGGAGAAGCGGTGCAGCAGCTGGAAAGTGCCCCCCCCCCAGGTCTCCTTAGAAGTAAGCCATACACTGCGGGAGGGAGGGAGGTGTGCGCATGCGCCGTTGGGTGCTTGTGCGCATCCCGTGGAGACTTGGGGGAAAAAACTTTTTGCAAGGGGACATAGGCGGGCGCGCGATCATACGCCCGCCCTTGCCCCGCGGTTTCCGGAAACTAGTACCTCGGGGGTACTAGTTTTTTAAGCTGCATCTTCGGCGGGACGCCTCGGGTGAGCCATGGGAGCTCTACGCTTCCCAGATGTGGCGGTGTGATCACGCCTGGAAAATCCGCCTATCTTCCGTCTCTGTAGCGTGGCTAATGCTCCGTGTGACCGCAGCCATAGTGTGGAAACTGGTCCACGCTCCTTTTTAAATCATTATTGTTCTTGGGCAGGTACTTTTGGAAGTTTGCTGGGAGATAGTGACTGTAAATTAACATCTACAGGTCACAGCGTATTAAAATAAAACACTTTATTTTTGTTATCTTCTGTAATATTAAAACATCAGGTATAAGAATTAGCAAGAATAGAAATGTCTACACATTTGCAAAGTATTCTTTAACTTCACAAAATGCCCATGATGTTCACCAAAATCAAACTAATTACTCTATACAAAGCAGTAATAAGGTATTATTTGGTGCAGACACCTTTACTTGCTGTGATAGCTTGCATGCATTTGCTTAAACAGGGGAATATATACTTGTAAATTAATTGGAAAATATTTGGTGAATGAATGCCCATGTCTGTAATGAATTTTGTATTTCCCTTTGCTTCTATTCCTTGAGACTAGTGTTGGACCAATGCAGCTGTTAAATTGACTCCCTCTTTATCACAGTTTAAAAGTTCAGAGCAGGTCTCAGGAGTTTATTTATTTATTTATTTATTATTTCGATTTCTATACCGCTCATAGCCCCTAATGGGTCTCAGAGCGGTTTACAGTAGTCTACTTGCGTAGTGTAGGCCTAACTAGGGTCACAATTTATCGGGGGGAGGGTTCACTACCAGCACCCATGCGGCAGATCTTCTTCCATTTCTTCTCCTGGTGGCCTCGTTTGTTCCTGACGGTCCTGGCGATGTTGGCGATGTTGCGACCATCTCCGGTAGGCTCTGCTGGCTTCCGTCGATGCGCAGTTGCTTCGGGCGCAGCTTCCGGCTCTACGTCCATTCGGCTCCAGCCGTGCTGCGCCCTTTTCGCTGCTGCATCATCCGCCTCCGCTCGCTCTGGTCGCCGCCTCCAGGATCGCCACTGCTCCGTCGTCGCCCGGCCGCCATTGCTCTCGCCTGCCGCTGCCTGCTGCCGCCGCCGCCATCCAACCGCACTCCTGGCATGGAACCAGGAGGAGGGTGCCTCCCTGCCACCTAGGGCAGGTACCCATTTGTCTACTTGTTAATTACTTTCGAGCCGCTGGGTTGGCGGGAGCTGGGACGAGGGTCGGGGGCTCAGCCCGACCGCGGTGGGGATTCGAACAGCCATTAAGGCTGTCCGCTACAGATGTTACCTGCAGGCGTCGTATTGCCTGCGCCACCGCTCCCACCGCCACCGTTCACATTTTTCCTCTGGAACAAATCCGGCTTTTATTTATTTATTTATTTATTTACATTATTTATAGTCTGCCTTTCTCACTGAGATTCAAGGCAGATTACATAGTGAAAGTCAAATACAATCAACAGGATGGAGCATCCAATACACAGTGCAATAGGATTTGGCTTATAGAAATCTGGATTCAACACTTCCTGCATTGAAAACGAATATAAGGGGCTGGTTTAAGGCTGGTCTGTGTTTGTTTAATAATTTATCAAACATTGGCTCAGGCATTTTATATTGCTATTAAGGATCTGCCGATATTATTAGTTAATCTTTACTTTGCTCCTTTTGTTGATAACAGTACTTCCACATCTGCTTGGAAGTCACTGAGTGTCTATTTGAAAATGCTTTTGGAGAAATTTCCTGAGGCTGCTCTTCTTTTAGCTGGTGATCTTAATGTAAGATTGGGGTCAATGATCAGTTAGGCAATTTGTTGAGTTGGGGAGATGAGGACCACACAACTCTCCCATTCTTAGTCTCTAGGCAATCTAAAGACCTAGTTATAAATGAGACTGGACGTCATCTGGTGGACCTTTGTGTGGAATTCAACCAGTTTGGTGTAGTGGTTAAGTGTGCGGACTCTAATCTGGGAGAACCGGGTTTGATTCCCCACTCCTCCACTTGCACCTGCTGATGTGACCTTGGATCAGTCACAAGCTCTGGCACAGCTGTTCCTGAAAGAGCAGTTTGTGTCAGAGTTCTCTCAGCCCCACTCACCTCACAGGGTGTCTGTTGTGGGGAGGGGAAGGGAAAGGAGTTTGTAAGCCGCTCTGAGATTCCAAGTGAAGGGTGGGGTATAAATCCAATCTCCTCCTCCTCCTCCTCCTTCTTCTGTCCCCTGAATTTGAAGTGACCATTCTCTTATGTTGTTGACTTTTAGGATGAGCTGTATCTCAGATAGGTCTCCTCTGTTTAGTGCTGAAAATACTGATTTCCCTGTTGGACCTCACCCCTTTCAACCCAGATTCAACAATGGATGTATAGTGATATTGGGATGCAACTAAACCAAAAGCTATCCTGTACTAAATCACTAACAGAGGTTCTCTTAGTTTATAATTCTGTTGTTGATAAACTCAGCGATTTGCCCAACCATTTGACTGTAAACATGTGAAATGTTCAACTAATTCCTATCCTGGTTTGATGCTGAATGTCACCTAGCTAAAATAGATTGGACCAATTTTTTCGGCAGATGAGTACTGGCCCTTTACCTTGGATCCCTTCTGTTTATTGCAAAATGAGGAGGGAATGTCAACTGCTGCTAGCCCAAAAGAAACATATCTTTGCCATGGAGAAATGGACCTAGCTATTTCACACAATCAAAAGTAATAACAACAGTGCTTTCTGGTCCTTGGTCACAGGCTTTAAACGTCAGTTGGGAGTCCTTAATGTTAGCTCAGTTCCCCCCAGAAATGGGTCACTTACGATACTAACTTGTTCAATAATCTTTTTGTAGCTGAATCAACGAGTAATGTGCTACCTTTCGATGTGCCAGAGTGGCCTCCTGTCTTGCATGAGGAGATATATGAGCACATTTCTAGTCTTACATCTGGTAAAGCCCCGGGCCCCAATGGCCTATCTGCTGAGCTCATGAAGAACAATATTGAATGGTGCTCTCATTCTCTTGCACGCCTCTTTACATTAATTGATAAATTTGGTACTTTACCAGAATCATGGTTAAATTCCATAATAATTCCGATTTTCAAAAAAGGTGACCCTAACAACCTAGAGAGAACTACAGACCCATTAGTCTCTTGTCTATTCTAGGGAAAGTTTATGCTAAACATCTTCTTAAGAAATTATCTCATAATTTACCAGGGAGAGAGCAAATTGGGTTTGTAACAAACCACTCTACTTTAACTGAAAAATATCTCCGGCACCCTAGAGGCAAGCTATATGTTGCATTTATTGATCTCCGTAGAGCCCTCGACTCAGTCGTTAGACAGACTCTGTGGGGAAAATTGCACAAATTGGATCTTGACCAACACCTTCTGCTTTTGTTGTGGAAATTTAATGTCTCTAACACTTGTCAGGTTAGATTTGATGACAGAGGCTCTTTAACACATAAAATTCCTGTGACCATGGGTGTAAAGCAGGGTTGCGTTTTAGCCCCCTCTCTATTTAATTTGTTTCTTTCAGATCTCCCTTTCTATTTGGCTAAAATTGAGGGACACGCTCCCAAATTAAACTCAGCCCTGGTTCCTATTTTAATGTACGTGATACATTAAACAATGCAGAAATTATATAGTAGGAACATACAGTAATAGGAAGGCCACAGTACTGTAATCTAGAAACCAGACCCTGTATGTTAAACTGCAGTTTCAGATCCTGGTTAAACGTAACTTTATATGGTGAGAGTGCCAACATATTTTTTCTCAGTGTAGTGAAAGCAGGCTTCAAGAAGAAGAGGAGCTTTGGGTACACAGTATACATCCTCAAGGCTGGCTCTTAACAACAAGGAGCTAGTGTTTTGTCAGTCCTGGCCCTTTATGATAAACTTCAGAATTTATTTGTTTCATAAAGTAAAGTAAAATAACTACTCTTTTAATCCCACCTCAATTAGGCATATAAATTAGGATCTTGTTTGGGATTAAGACTTTGGGATATGCTCCCCTAATGTGCTGGGACTTTTCTGGCCTGAAGTTCATCTTATTCATGCAGATGACATAGTTAATATAAATGTACGCTTATGATAGTTTCCATTCCAGTATGACATTTGTTCACGCACAAGCTTCTTGCATCTGTGGTACATCATTAATATATCTGGAAACAAGCTTTAAGAGGGTTTTAATCTGTTGTACATTTTCAAAATAAGATCTCTCTGCATTAATAAATTGCACTTAATTTCTGTGTGTCAGTTCATTGTATTTGAAGACATACTTTGTATTTTATCCCATTCTTCAGCCAGACTTGACACCCAGTGCAGCTCCCAAAAATAATAATTGTATTGCAGTGTGTGTTGTATAGCCAGGAGATCCGAGGATTGTCTGGCAGCTGAAGGTCTAACTCTTTTTAGGTGAGCTAGACTTCTTGGTGTGCTGAGAAAGCTCTGAGAGCTGTGACTGACCCAAGGTCACCCAGCTGGCTTTGTGTGAAGGAGTGGAGAATTGAAACCACTTCTCTGGATTAGAATCCTACTGCTCTTAACCACTATACCTACTGCTCTTAACCACTATACCAATAAATAAATAAATAAAAATAAAAATAAAATTAAAAAAAAAACCCAGTACAAATGAAATTAAGTTTAGCTTTCCTGAAACCAGAAACAGCGGGTGCTGCTTCTCTGCTTCCTGTTCTTCCTCTGATCTTCTTGTCTTTGAAGCATACAATCTTACTGAACTTTTTTCTTAAATTACACATGAAGTATTAGTCAAGTTGATTTGCACACATAGGGAAGAAATGTTTCTGATTTCTTATAAAGAGGTTTGTAATTGCAACTTTTCCCTTTCGTTTTTAGGGTAGTAGCTCTTCTGAAAAATCGAAATCATTAGGATCATCACGTTCTAAAAGGTTAGTTTGACATGCTGCTTAACCATCTGAATTACCAGTCTGAGTCAGAAGGGTGCAGTTTAGGAGTGGGCACAAACCTTTGTTCGTTATGAATTTTGGCCAGTTTGTGGTTTGCAAAACTGCTGCCCAGCCATGAACCTCCATGATATTTTAAGGCACTTTGTGGAGGTTCATGGGGCTTGCTTCCCAAGAAAGCCCCTTTTAATGAGCCATGCGGAGCAGTTTGCGTCACGTACCTCAGCTGCTTAAAGAGTCTTTCTTGAGTTCAGCTACAAGCCATTTAAACCAAACAACTGAGCGGCGGAGTGGTGCTCAGCTGTTTGGTTTAAATGGCCCAGTTATTTAAACTTCTGCTTTCTGCATCCCACAGTTTTTCACAGGGAGCAGAGAGCATGGGTCACGAACCCGTACGAACTGGCTCAGTTTGTGAATCAACCTCCCGGTTCATATAGGCTGGACCATGAACGGAACTGCAGAAACGTGGTTCGTGCCCATCCCTAGTGCAGCTGTCTTTCTTGGTAGATCCATGAGAGCTGTGTTATGAAGTGCTACAACAGAAATATTCAGATGCATTAATTATGGTATTTTCTTTTGTTCTTTTGTTGTTTCTATAGACCACCTTTCCCTGAATATACAGGGCTCAGGGCAGTGAATGACAATAAAAACATTAATAAATTAGTAAAACAATTCCAACAGTTAAATAAATATGACTAAAACATCCTCAGACGGTGCTAAAACATCAAAGTTTCAAGTTGTATCACTGTCTAGCAGAGAAGGTAAGAGAGGAAGCAGGGGGGGGGGGGGGAAGAGAGTGCCAGATAGGATGGTACCCACCGCTATCATGAATCAGAAGCCTGGTGGAACATCTCTGCCTTGCAAGCCCTGGTGAATTATATTAGGTACTGCAGGGCATGGATGTTTTTCGGCAGAGAGTTCTACCAGGTAAGAGCCAGGGCTAAAAAGGCCCTGGTTCTGGTCGAGGACAGTCAGACATCTTTTGGGCTGGGGATCACCAGTAGGTTGTTCTCTGTAGAGCATAATGCACTTTGGGGGACATATTAGAGGAGGCGGTCTTGAAGATATGTGGGTCCCTGACTGCTTAGGGCCTTAAAGGTCAGTACCAAAACCTTGAACCTGACTCAGTACTCCACTGGGAGCCACTGCAGCTGACAGAGCACTGGTTGAATATGTGTTGTCCATGATGTTCCAGTTCAGACCTGCGCCACTGTATTCTGGACTAGCTGGAGTTTCTGGGTCAATCTCAAGGGTAGCCCAGCATAGAGCAAATTACAGTAATCCAGTCTGGAGGTGACCGTTGTATGGATTACTGTGGCTAGGTCAGAGCAAGACAGGAAAGGGACCGGTTGCCTTACCTGGTATAGCTGGAAGAACGCCAGCTTGGCAACATGGGTGATCTGGACCTCAATTGATCAGGAGGCATCCGGAACCATGACCAAACACCTGACAGTTGGTGCCAGTATTAGAGGCACACCGTCAAGAGTGGGGAGTTGGTATCCCGACCCTGAATCCCCCTTACCCAGCCACAGAAACACTCTCATAGTTGGCTTCAGTCTCAGTTGGCTCTTTTTCATCCATTCCACCACAGCCTCCAGTCCCTGAGCCAGATTTTGTGGGGCGGTGTCCGGGTGGCTGCCCATCAACAGATACAACTGGGTGTCATCAGCATACTGGTGACACCCCAGCTTGAAACTCCACACCAGCTGGAAGAGGGGGCACATATAGATGTTGAATCATTAATAATGATCAGTTTGCTTTTGAGCTGAGAATAAGTTTTCAAGAATAACTTAAATATATCTCTCCTCAGTTTAATTTTTCCAACACTGTGTAAGTGGAAGTTGTATTTCCAAAGGTTCACCATTTTGCACTTCTCAAAATTCAGTTTTACCTGGTCCTGTGTTAATAACGTGAGATTCTAATCTTATTTTTCTCAGGCTACAGTCACAAATCATGGAAGACCATGTATTGCATAAGGTCCGAGGTGTCTGCTTGTTAAAGCAATATGTACCAATGTGATAAAAATCTTTATTTTGATACTCATGCAGGAAACCTACAGTTGTAACAAAATATGTCGGCTCAGATGATGAGCAACCCGTAGATGAAACGCTGAATCAAGATGTTTCCAATGAAAACTCAGAAAATGATGTTGATATGAAAAGCTTGCCTAAAGGTAACTAGTTCAAAAGATAAGTACTGGAAAATTGCTTACTTCTAAAATTCTTAGTTTTATTTTGTAATTGTTCATAGACACTTTAACATGAATAACATGCTACATTCTTAAAAACAATTGCATCAAGAATGTTATGTCTATTAAAATCCAATTCTCAGCTGTCCCCTATGTGTGGATGCTTATTTTGGCTGATAGAGGGCATACTCTCAACAGGTTTTTCTACAGACTCGGGACTGTGGGTCTGCAGAAAAATCCAATTAAAAAAAAAAAACTCAGGAAGGGTTGAGTCCCCCCCATACACTTTGAAATGGCCGCTGCAGGGATCTACTCCAGGCCCCATTGCATCAACAGTGAGATAGTCGGGGGGAGGGGAGCAAAAGCAGAACGAGACCTGGGATTGGGGAGGATTTGTCCTGTAGTATGAATGACTAAATAGCAGGGGGTTGGGTTAAAACGGCAGGGGGAGGGGGCAGGGCACTTTCAAGGCCTATTTTGGAGCCAGGCCTTGAGACTAAGAGAGAGAGACAGAGAGGAGAGGAAGCAAAAGCAGAACTGGACCTGGGATTGGGGAGAATTCCTCATCCAGTATGAATGACTAAATAGCAGGGGGTTGGGTTAAAAAGGCAAGGAGGGGGCAGGGCACTTTCCAGGCCTATTTTGGAGCCAGGCCTGGGACTAGGATTGCCCTCTCCAGGTTGGGAAATTCCTGGAGATTCTGTGATGAAGTCTGAGGAGTGCAAAGTTTGAGGAGGGGAGAGGCCTCAGCTGGATATAATGACACAGAGTCCACCCATTTTCTCCAGGGGGATAGAACTAGAGTTCAGTATTGTCTGGAGTTCATTTGTAATTCTGGGGGATCTCCAGGTCCCACCTAGAGACTGGCAAACTTCGACCTAGCAGCACCCTCTGGGTGACTTGATACCACCTGACTTGCATGATTCAACTAGGCCTGGCTGCTTGCTACTGTTCAACAGCAGCCACCCTATGAAAGTCAGGGTAGTATAATGGTCAGAGCTTCAGAGTAGGGTTTGTGAGACCCAGGTTTAGATCTCCATCTTTCTGTGGAAGCTCACTGGGTGATTTTGGGCTAGTCACATACTTACAGCCTAACCTACCTCATAGGGTTGTTGTGTGGATAAAAAGGAGGAGAGAATAATGTAAACTGCTTTAGTCTCCACTGTGGAGAAAGACCATAGTTTTCCTCAGTAGAAACTGGAGGAGGAAAGGAGATGGAAAGCTGAAGGCAAAGGGGCAGATAAAGATAGGTGGGCTGTTGGGTGGGAAGGAGATAGGGATGCCAACTCCAGGTTGGGAAATTCCTGGTTATTTGAGGGGTGGAGCCTGGGGATGGTGGGGATTGAGGCGGGGAGGGACTTCAGAAAGATATAACGCCATAGACTCCACCCTCCAAAGCAGTCATTTCCTCCAGGGGAACGAATGTTGCTTTCCAGGTGAGGGCTGGAAATCTCCTGGAATTACAACTGATCTCCAGATGACAGAGATCAGTTCCCCCAGAGAAAATGGCTGCTTTGAAGGGTGGAGTTGATGGTATTATACCCTTTTGAGGTCACTTCCAAGCGCAAACCTCATCCTCCCTAGGCTCCACTCCCAAATCTCCAGGAATTTCCCAACACAGCTGGCAGCCCTAAGAGGGACTGAGCTCTGTATTTGGGCAATCAGTTGTGATTCCTGGAGAGGGGATGCTGCCACTGCTGCTGTGGGAGGGGGGAAGTAGGTGGGAGGCCGGGAGAGTGACGGGGCAGAAAGAGTGATGGGGTGGGGGCAGAAAGGGAGTGACGGGCAAAGTGGCGATCTGCATTTCCCAGGGCATGTAAGGAAGGGCCACGAGAACTGAGCACTGAGGCAACCCGTCCTGCCCTCCCTCTCGTGGTCTGCCTAAGTTCACAGAATCAGCATTGATGTCAGATGACTATCTAGCCTCTGCTTGAAAACCACCAAAGAAGGAGAGCCCACCACCACCCCAAGGAAGCCTGTTCCACTGAGGAACTGCTCCAACTGTCAGGAAGTTGTTCCTAATGTTTAGCTGAAAACTCTACTGATTTAATTTCAAGCTGTTTGTTCTGGTCTGACTTTCTGGGGCAACAGAAAACAACTCTGCACCATCCTCTATATGACAGCCCTTCAGATACTTGAAGATGGTTATCATGTCACCTCTCAGTTGTCTCCTCTTCAGGCTAAATACACCCATCTCCTTCAGCCTTTCCTCATAGGACTTGGTCTCCAGATCCCTCACCATCTTAATTGCCCTCCTCTGGACACGTTCCAGCTTGCCTATATTCTTCTTAAATTGTGGTGCCCCAAACTGAACAGAATACTCTAGGTGAGGTCTAACCAGAGCAGAGTAAAGCAATACCATCACTTCACATGATCTGGACACTGTACTTCTGTTGATACAGGTAAAAATCTTTATCTAAGTATCAGACTTATAAAAACTTATCAAATACTAATACATATGATGGGTAAACACTTTCCTACTGAAGACCAAACGCGTTTTGGCCCCTCAGTGGTCACAATTATCAATATAGTATAGACACACATTCATAGACCTTTATACAAGATCTTTAGTGCTCATATATTTAAACCAGATGTTGTTTCCTGAGATTATAAAAATGGGGGAAAGAAGAGAAACTTCATTATTTACTTACAAATGTATATAAAATCATTATTGATTGAAAAATGATTCTTTCAAAGATAAAATTACCTTGTATATTTGTAATTGTATAACTGGTATTAGTGATGGGCCATAGGTATAGCCATATCAATTCCACCAATTATTCTAAATTAAAAAGAAATGAAATGAAATTGTGAAATTTTTATAGTAAATCGAATTGTATAATAAATTTAACCCCAAATTAAAATAAAATAATTGAATTGGCCAACAAACCTGGTAACAGAGATTTCATAGGTCTGAATGTGTGTCCCTCCATCAAGGTAAAGATTCTGTTACTAGCTGCTGTAATGGCTTCCATATATAGTGAACCTGGGGTGATGCAATCACCTACTTACATTGCACAATGTCAGCCAGGAGAGATACAAGATGGGAGGGAGTGCAGAGGATAGGGAGATTGGGAGCAGCACGGGGGGAGGGGGGAACAGGTCAGCACAAAGAATTGACAGAAAACAATTATAGATGTTCACAAACAGCAAGTCCAGTCCACTTCTTCATTCAATCCCAAAGGAGCCCACGTCTGCAGTTGGTGAATCCTCAGGAGCACTCTGCACATGTTCAGATTGGTAGTCTGTACAGTCTCAATAATGCAAAATTTTAGCTGTTTATCCGTATGTCCCAAGTCCCGAAAATGGTTCACTAATGGTGCAGAACGCTTATGCAATCTAATGCAGCTTCGGTGTTCCCCTATTCTGACTTTTACAGGTCTAGATGTTTGACCCAAATACAATTTACCACATGGACATTGGATACAGTAGATCACTCCTTTGCTTTGGCAGTTGCAAAACGTATTAATAAAAAAGGTTTTTGTTTTGGCAGTATTTTGAAATGACTTCTTAGCCTCAGCACAATTACACATAGAACATTTACCACAAGCAAAAAAACCTTTCGGAATCTGACTCCCCCTCATGCAGCTGGTGTCCTTCACTTCGGGGAGCCTGCTTCTAACCAGTGCATCCCTGAGATTCCTTGCTCTCCGGGTTGTGAACAGGGAAGGCTTCTGGCATCTAGGTATGTTTGATAAAAGGTGCCAATATTTGTTAATAATAGTCTTTACTGGTTTAAACGTGCTATTGTAAGTAAGAGGTATAATCATCCTATCTACTCTTTGATTGTGAGTAAAGATGTTCTGGGCATATTGTAAGCTCTGTAATAAGCTCTCTCTAGGTTTCTGTATGTGTAGCCCCTATTGGCAAGTTGGTTCATTAGAATGCCTGCCTGTCTCTTAAAATCATTTGCCTCACTGCAGTTTCTTCGTAATCGTAGTAGTTGTGAATAAGGTAGATTCTTTTTAATGTGGGCAGGGTGGAAATAGCAGAGAAACAAGAAACAAAAGGAGCAACTGGAAAGACTACAATATCCCCGAGGGTTGCAAGACTTAAACTGAAGAAAAAGGTGATAACAAAACACAAAAGAAAGATGGACGAAAGTAAAATTAAGATAATCTCAGTAAATGTTAATGGATTGAATGCACCTCAAAAATGAAGACGGGTTTTCCAACAATGAAAGAAGATGCAACTAGATATTATATGTCTTCAAGAGACTCATATAGAGGACTCTGAGCAAAAAATTTTGGAGAATAAAAAACTTGGGGGGGAAATTATATTTTCAGGCAAAGAAAAAAAAAGGAGAGAGGTAGTGACATATGTGAAAGAATACTTATATCCAAAACTAACATATAGCTCTAAAGATGGAAGAATATTGATAGTTCAAATACAAAGGTAAAACAACCCTAATTATAAATATATATGCATCTCATCAACACCAAGAAAAATATTACAAGTTACTTCAAGAATTTATCTCCAAACAAAGTTATGATGAAATCTGTCTAATTGGAGACTATAATGCTGTTTTTGACAGATATGTAGATAGAAAAACAAATACTGGAAAACAAAAACATGGTAATGAATTACCCAACACGTTTCTACAACTTGCAGAAGAATATAGCTATCGATGCTTGGAAGACCAGAAATCCAAAGAAACAAGACTACACTTCTTACTCAGCAAGACATAAGTCATGGTTCAGGACAGACATCTGTTGGATCTCGTCAACAACTATAAATGACATAATAGAATTTTTTTAATTTAGTTTTTATTTACATGGGATTTATATACTGCCCATGACCCCTAATGGGTCTCAGAGCGGTTTACAGCGAACTACTACGTAGTTAGTACCTAACTAGGGCCACAATTCTCTTGGGGAGGGGATATCCTACCAGCACCCATGCGGCATAGTCTTTCTTCCTTTCCGGCGGCCTCGTTGTTCTTTTTCCGGCAATCCGGATGGCTGGCGACCAAGTCCAAGCAGAAA